ATTTATTTATTGTTTGAAGGTGTTGCGTCCTTGCGTTAGCAAATCGCTAAATTTCAATCACTGTTTATCAATGATACATAATGACACAAGCGTTATATGACATATAGTACCATTTGACGATGAAAACAACATAAACTTTGCATTTTCGTGCTCTCTTAATTATTCCACAGTTTTTTCAATATCAATTATGGAAATTTGAAGGGTAAAAATCGCTTTTGTCTTTTAAAACCAAGTTTTTTAAAAATACCTGTACAAAAAGATATTCCAAATGTTACGGCTATAAATACATAACCCATTAAATAAAATAATTATACATTTTCTGGGAAATAAAAACTCCTAGAGGGTGGCTGACGGGTGCTTTGGTGTGGTTTGATTCTTCTTTCTTATCAAACTTCTATCAGTCTTATCTAGAAACACCTATTATTAATCTTCGGCACTTTTATAATCTAATTGTGTTAAAAGTGCTGTAAAACCCTTACTAATATTAAAGGCATTGTTTTTTATTTAAAATTTAAAAAATAACAGAACAGGAACCCACCCCCCACCCCCCGAAAAAAAGAACAGAAAAGAAAACAGAATAAAACACAAAACAGAATAAAACGCAAAAACAGCCCCCCCCCAAAAAAAAAAAAAAAAAAAGAACAACCCCACCTCAAACCAAACAACCCAAAAAAAAAAAACAAACCCTACCACCGACTACTAGCACAACCGCCTACTGTGGCCTCCCTACTCACCTTTGGCGGGCATGTTGGCGACTTTGACGTCGAGGTCGTCCGGATGATGATGTGCTGGTGACGTAACAATATCCAAGGAGGAGGAGGAATGCCGCACACCGAGCTGACCGTCAACTACGCTACTACTGCTGGCAGCGCCGGGACCACTGCTGTGACATCGACCATCACTGGAGCCGCTGCTACGCCCGCTCACAGACCGCCAACCACTTGTCGTCGTCACACCACCTGGCCGGAGACCACTGCTGCTGCTGCTGCTGCCGGTACCACTACCTCCTCCACCGCTGTTGTTGTTGCTGTCGTTGTTGTTATTGCTGTTGTTACTGTTGGGGGAAGTGGTGTTGGTATTAGTATTAGTATTATTATTATTAGTGCTGTTGTTGCTGCTGGTGCTGTTGCTGATGTGGTGGTGGAGGTTGTGAAGGTGGTGGTGGTGTGGGTGGTGGTGGTGGTGGCTGTTGATGTTGCCAGCTGTGGTACCGTTGTAGAGGCCACCAACCGCTGCAAAGGCAGAACCTGCTGCGGGGAACGGGTGGAAAGCGCAGGGAGCTAGGGCTTCCAGAATGGGGTCTGAGCTGGGGACTCCAGGCGGGAGAAAGTACGAGTGGCGTGCCTTGATGTCGCTCTCCTCTATCCGGCTTGTCGGAATGATATGGTGCTCAATTTTCGAGGTATTTTGGTTCTAATTCTCAGTTTTCAAATGTGTAATAATTGTAATCATTTAGTTTTGAAATGTATGATTCTAATTCTCAATATTTGCGCCTTTCAATTCTAACTATTAATTTTTTAGAATTTTTATTTCTATCATAAACTTCACACCACACAAAATTTATTTTACTTTAGACACACTCCAAGCCACAAAACTATCACCAGGTGAAACGGCAAAGACCGATACGGTAGTGTCTCATTCCCCTGCTCCTGCGCGTGGTTTATGAAGAGTGTAAGCAAACAGGATCATGCGATGGCACTCCAGAGTATCTTTTCTTCTTTTGCGTCTATTTATACTGGCACACAGATCGGGGTAGTCCCAACTGGCGCGCGCTGTCTTCTCTTCTCAAGCCAGGCTCTGTCACCCACCAGGGGTGCCTCACGTCTGCCAGGGAAGATTGTCGTACCCCCTGCTGTACCTGGATGGGAAAAAAAAGAAAGAAATGGAAATTTTAACAAAAAGTGATAATCGACGCTTAGCAGAAGTCAAAGTTCGCTTATGTAACGAATATGATGAGTCACAAGCTAGCTAGATAAGAAATGCTTGCTTGAAAAAAAAAGCACAAAACGTATTGTGAAAAATACCCAAAAAAGTGACAAAGTATAATGATACAAATTCAGATTTTCAAAACGGCTAATGATACCTAAGGAGATATTTAATCTAAAAGGTGATAAATAAGCAATACATGCATATGAATAATTTAGACGAATTACAAATACCCAAAAAAAAATCGAATTTTAGAAAATAAATCACGAGTAAATCAACCAAGCAAGCAGACAAAAAACCAAGCAAACAAGCAAACAAACAAACAATGAAGTAATAAAACAATGAAATAATTGAATAAGTAATCACAAAACTAATTAACCATTCAATCACCTAGTCAAATAGATAAATAAATAGATAAAAAAAATGAATGAATGAATGAATGAATGAATGAATGAATGAATGAATGAACGAATGAATGAATGAATGAATGAATGAATGAATTCAATACATGATTTTAAAGAAAAAGATGCTTGATTATTTTGAAAAAGAACAACTTTTTGTTTGGGTCGATTGGGTTAAAACCGAATATGGGAATAATTTTTTTTTTATAGTAGAGGGTTTTGAGGCGCTCGCAACTGCATAAGGTCATATGAGCGCCTATGAAAATATTTACTACAAAGTACAAATGCAAACGGAATAATTAATATAAATATTTTATTTATATAAATGATGTACAAAAGATAACTAACCATTTCACGAGATAAATGGATAGCATGTCAGTGCATAAGTAAATGAATTACGAAAAACACTTAGGCCTACATCAACAAACTCAAAATTTCGCATTGTATCTCGGCAGACCTCTATTCCAGTTGTTAAGATCAGAATTAATAAATAATGCAGAAACTATCAACACAAGGAAATAAAATAAAGTTCTTTGGCACAGCTGCCAGATTCCACATACTTAAAAAAAAAAATTACATTACACATCGAAACCGGGGCCTAAAACAGTAAAGCTTTCCTAAATGTCTGGCACAAGGCCCGGTCCTAATGCACTTCTTAACATAGTCCCGAGGATCAAACAGCCTTAAGAATGACGTAACATGCTCTACTTAATGGCAATGGAAGGCCACTTTTCTAACAGGTATTGTATGGAGCTGTAGCAAGTCCTGCCCCGAGGCGGAATAAAAAATGGCTTCTCGGTCTGGCTGAAGGAATAAATGCCTGCAGTGTGGAGAGGCACTGCTGCTCCGTCCCTTTAAACAATGAGAGGTAAGGAGTTGAAAAGACCAGCTTACTCGGAGTGGGTTAGAGAGAGAGGGGGGGGGAGATGGGAG